GCCACGGGCGGGGTGGGGCCGCCACCGTCCCAGCGTCCCCCGCGCGGGGCCCCGCGCGCGTCATCAGCGCGCGCCGCGGGCCGCGCCGCCGTCATGGCGGCTGAGGGCTCGTGCCGCTCTCCGCAGGCATCGAGAACCTCCCGTGCGAGYTGCAGCGGAACTTCCAGCTGATGCGGGAGCTCGACCAGCGGACGGAAGGTGCGTGCGGCTGTTTGGGGAGGCCCCGGGGCTGGGGGGAGCGCCYACACCGCGAGGAGGGCGCCTCCTCCTAAAGATCTGTAAAAACCCGTAAAAATCTGTAAAAAATCAGCTTCGTGCTGTGCCTGTCGAAGCTCAAATATCTCTCTTTTTGCCTTTAAAAAGAAGGCCCATAATCTTAAAAATTCTYCTCATCTAAGTGCTAAGAGAGGTAGAAGAAATCAGGTTGACTTTAATGGCAGCTTTCTGGGGTGTGTGTGTGCTCTGCCTGCCGCTCCTTCAGATAAGAAGGCGGAAATCGACAGCCTGGCAGCGCAGTACATCGAGTCGGTGAAGAACATGCCGCCCGAGGAGCGCGTGGAGCACCTGAAGAAAATTCAGAGCGCCTACAGCAAATGTAAGGAGTACAGCGACGACAAAGTGCAGCTGGCCATGCAGACCTACGAGATGGTGAGAACTGGAGGCCCCCGCCCCACGGTTGTGTGACTAGGGAGGATTAGTTCTCAAGCTTTTGTTATTACTGTTGCCCCTTAAAGGACAAAGATCCAGGTTTTTCTCTTCTATTTTTTTTTTGACAAGTCAGCTTTTCTTATGGTAAAGGTTTAAATGAGCATTTCTAAAGGTCTAAATGAGCATTTCTGGATTAATTGATACTTTGTAGAGTGGCTCCTCTTCTGTTGTATAATAGTGCAAACGACTGTACCCACCCTCATCTTTCTTTAAGCAAGAAAGCTGTCCTGTCATCCAGGAATTTATGTAGGCCTGGTTGTGGTTTTGCTTGTTTTTGGTCAGATTGCGACCGAAACTTTTCAAGCCAACTTTAATACTAGAGGATTTGGGGTATTTGTTTTGGCTAACAAACTTTCCTCTGAACTTGGTGGGAAAAATCTTTCTCATTTCTAAAGCTAGAGCTGTYGACATCTCCTCCTGTGCCTATACCTGTTGAGGGTCTTTCTCAGTGTGTTTTATCCCATGGAAACAAGGAGAGACTTGACAGCCTCTTGACTTGACAGTGTATTTTATCTAGCTGTCAGAGATGATTTGGGTTGTGAATAAAAGCATCACATCAGGAGTTGCAATACCTTTTCCTTCTATCAGAATACTGCAGAAAAATTATGTTGCAGGATTGAGCAGCTTTTCTTATTTTCTTCCTTTAAAATAAATATGTAAAAATTACATCTGTATTCTCTAAGCCAGAGTGCAGCATTACAAGGTATTTACTTTACATGTGCATTGTGGATGTGCCCCATGATGTTGGAGGCAGTCAGCAGAAATTATTATTAGATTTCATGAAACTGTATGTCATTTGAATAACAGAGGCAATATCAACACATCTCGATATATTTCATGGATAGTAAGTGATAATACACTGTGAAAGTTGCTCAGGGAAAAAACACAATTTCTTGCTAATATCTGTTTTCTGCATGTTTTGCCCTGCAAACTATCAGAGTTGCCCTAGCTCTTCTTTCTGCTACTCCCATCTCTTCCTGCATTCCTCTTTGCTTTATTTTCATTGAGTCCTCTGCTGCCATTCCCCTTTCCCTCTCACTTTTTTCCCCTCTTTTTCCCTCACTTCTTTCCCTTCTCCAGCCTAATTCCCTTTGTGTTTACCCTTTTTTCCGCACGGTACCTTTTTTTGTACATTGCCCTGATGTATTTTGTCCCTATTCATGCAGATGAGAGTTATTAGAACTTCCTGTTTGCTCTGCTCTTAATTCACAGTGTGGTTTCCTCTTCTGCACAGGTAGACAAGCACATCCGCCGGCTGGACGCAGACCTGGCACGCTTTGAGGCCGATCTGAAAGATAAACTGGAAGTCAGTGATTTTGAAAGCCCTGGAGCACGAAGCCTGAAAAGTGTGTAAATTTAATCGGTTTGATAGTCTTTTCCTGCACTGAGCACCTCTAAGCCGAGAGGCTGAGGTATAAAGTAGACCTGCTGGTTTTGCAGGYTGTGTCCTGCTTTTTAAGGCTCTTCAGGGCAATGCTGACAAATTTCAACACCCTCATGGTTTTATAAGACTTTTATATATGTGTGTGTGTGTATACACTTTATTTTTATATTTTATTTATATATTTCCACTTCATTTTAGAAGTTTTTGTTACGGAGTGTTCTAATACACATGGATTACGTGGGGTATGTGGACTAACTTTGTACTGAAGTGACTTTTCAAAGCTTCAGGCATAAAATAATATAGCCCTCTGTCATACTGCTTGTAAACTTAGTATGTTTACAACACGTGTGCCTATCAGAATCAATGTTTGTGTTCAATTCCATATGAAAGAACAGTTTTAGAACAACAAAGAGTATTAGAAGAAAACTTTTGGGGGATGTTTTTGGCATTTGCATAAACTGCAGTGACCCTTCTTTTGCCCTCTGTAGAAGGACGAAGTCAGAAAGACAAAAGAGGCTCTCGGGGTCGGGGCAGACGAGCATCAGAAGAAGATACACCAAAGAAAAAGAAACTTAAAGGAGGGTAAGAAGCGAATGGTCCCAGCTCTGATGACTTTGTGGAAAATGCCTTCAATGATCTTGATTAGAAGGAGAAAAAAAAAAAAAAAGAAAAAAAAGCATAGTTGGAGGGAACCCCATGCAGAAAKATTGATGTTGTATTGTTATCCCTGACATTTTGGAGAATTTTGGGAGCTTTTAAATAACCATGCCTTAAATAGTCTTAAAAAATCTAATGCAGTTTTCCTAGGCAACCAAGAAAGTGTGTCCGCTCTCTGTTACATGTTTTATATTAAGATGACCCTATTTTTTTTGGTTGGCTAAATGCAGAGAAAAGAAAGATATATTGTTGTCCTTGAGCATTACAAATATGCTAACTTCATATTCCTATGTTGGAGCAAGAAGGTTCACTCACACCTGAGTAAAAAAATGTATAATAAGAAAGAAAAAGTTAAAACATATTCGAAAATAAATCAGATTTGTCTGTCAACAAACAGAAACGTTGAATACATTAACTTTGTTGCTGTATAATACTATCTACAAATCATTCCGTTCATCCTTTATTAGTAAAGATGGAATTTTATCTTTTGTTATTAATTGCAATGCCAGTAGGTCTGGGTAATATGTGATAATAGTTCTAAATACTATTTATGTGCATGTGTGTTACACACATAGCTGTATRTGTATTGTATTACTATACTCTGTTAATATGTGTAGTAGTTCTAAAATGTGGTAGATGGACTGTAATGGGGATATTATTTAAAAATAATTTTCTAAGTCATATTTAAATCTTGGAAGTTCTTGCCTGTARCCGAAAGGTGTTTTATTCTGAACTTGTCCTTGCCTGCAGATCTGAGTTTTCTGATACTGTCCTGTCAGTTCATCCCTCGGATGTCTTGGACATGCCAGTGGATCCCAACGAACCTACCTACTGCTTGTGTCACCAGGTGTCATATGGAGAAATGATTGGCTGTGACAACCCAGATGTAAGTGCTTGAGTCAATCGATTTTTCAGAGCACATTCTGCCTCTTTGAAATATTACAGCCTCACAGAGCTGTGAAAGCTGWGGGGAATGCCTGCTCAGTGAAATTATCCTGAACAAGTGTAAATCTTGCAGACTGCTAAGCCCTCTCTTCTGTTTTTCTTTTGTTTCCCTTCTGTTTCACAGTGYCCAATTGAATGGTTCCACTTTGCTTGTGTGGACCTCACAACCAAACCAAAGGGAAAATGGTAAGTCAACCAACAGGAAGAAAAGAATACACAAGGCGTACATAAGATTTCATGTTTAGCAGAGCAGTTTTTGAGTTGGTGATGAGCATAGATACATAAGCAGGTCATCTCTTCCTTGGTGTATTGTCATGTAGTTGGGAGCTTTGCTTAAAATGGGAAAAGACCCAACTCTWTTATCCCCCTTGCCCTTTGTCTTGGAAAAATCCCAGGCTTGCTCTGTACTTTATATTTTTTTAAGGACACAAGTTCTGTATAAATGCGTTTTGCATTTAAAATGCCACAGGTTCTAATTTGAGTGCAAGCATCTGAGTGGCTGATTGCCACAGTCCAGTTCGTATTTGTCTAGTCTTCTTGCGCAGCGTTAAAACTATTTTAATGAGTTATTTGGCCGCTTTTATTCCCTACTCCCACCCCCTTCCCAAATAAGAAAAAGAGCTTTTGGACTGTGTTTTTTAACTCTGGGATTAATTACTACCGTGTTCTTTCCATAGGTTTTGTCCACGTTGTGTTCAGGAGAGAAAGAAAAAGAAGTAAGGAGTATAGGGAATATGTGGACTGAGGCAAGAAGAGTTTAACATATTCCTTCCTTCATGTTGCAATATTATCTTTGATTTTTCTTTAACCTACCCTCCTCCTTATTCTGACCTGATATTTAATTGTCCTGTGGCCAGTTATAATTCTTGTTCTTTCAGAAGGACTTGGAAAGGGAGGGAATTTGCCACCATCATTTTATTCATTTTATTTATGTTACACTTGCACAGCACCGAAATCGGTGTTACTATGAAGTGCTAGGGCAGCCCCATAGCTGTAATTTTTGCTAGTTTTATAGGAGTCTGTGAAACCACCTATTTTTTCTTGCAGGAGAATTACACAGCTATATCGTCAGTGTGGTCTGTCACTGAAAGAGTGGAGATCTGGAGCTTAGCATGGTGGGACAGAAGGACTTTTCTCTAGCTGTTGCCTGCGTGCAAGAAGCATGCCCTGTTTTTCAGGCGTGACGTCCAATTGTAGCTCAGCTRTGGTACTATTGAACTGGAGAGCTGGTTTGCTAGTTCCAGAGTCTATTTCCTCAAAGCCAAATACAGTGTTTAGTTTTGAGCAGGCATGGGAGGGGTGTGTGTGATTCACTAGAGAGAATCCTCTTTTGAGGAGTCACTTCCATCTACCTTTGCCCTGCCCTTAGTTGACTCAATCATGCCCAAACACATTAAATGAACAGAAGCAAGTCATTTGGGGTTTTTTTTACCTCTTTCCAGAAAAGCTTTTATTTTTTTTTCTTCTGGAGGGGAAACATTACAAATATTGAAGGAATTGTCCTGTTGAGCTTCTTAGTGGCAGACAGGGAGAGAAGGAGAAAGAGTGACTGACTGACTGATGTGTCCTGGCTGTTTGTTCTTTCTCTGGAAATCTTAAGTTAATTACTGTGAAGATGAAACCAAGAGTATTGCTATAGAGACAGAGAGTCTAACTAGTTCATAAGTCTTCATATAAAATGAAGGCCTGTTTTTGTTTTCTGATACTTGCACCTCCTTCAATCCGGAAACAAAGTTTAACAGAAGACTATTAAAGGAAGATGTATAGAGTCTTGTGATGGTGCAGCAAGGCTGGAAGGAGGTATTGTGGTAATTGTGTGGTTTTTGTTTTGTTTTTTTTTCTAAAAGCATGTGAATCGCTGCTGTTTAAAAAAAAAAAAAAAAAGTCATTGAACAGGAATGTTTTTAAATGACTTGTAGTTTTTGGCGGAGGCACCTTTGCCTCCTTTTGACTTCTTTAAGCTGCTTTTCAGCTTATAAATGTGAATCCTTGCTATTGTCACAGTGTCAGCTGCAGAGAGATGAATTGTGAATAATTGTGAATACAGAATTAGGTCTTTTTTTTTTTCTCTCCTCTCCACCCCGCTTCCTTCTGAGTTACAGCAGATGCAGGAGTTGAGGGAAGACCAAAGATGACTCGCCTTGATATATCCTACAATTTGGAGCTTTGCTGCCCACCATAGAAGCTGTTGTGGGAAGAGATGATCCTGCCAGAGAAGGGGGGAGAAAAGAAAAAAAAAACACCAAGTCTGTGGCAGAATAGACCAGGGTTTGTGAACTTTAATGGCTGTGACCCGTGATAAGTGTTCATGGCAGCTCTATGCCAGGCTTTGCACTAGTTTGCTTACCATTGTGCAGGAATAGATAGAGACTATCAGAAAGGCACTAGGAGATTTCCAGATCAGCTTTTGTTCTGTTTTAAAAACAATCCGAGTGAACAGTATAGAAGAAAGACACTTCTAGTTGTTGGGCTCGGGGACCCACTTCCAAAAACAAATTTCTTTTTTTATTATTATTTGGATTTTTTTTTGGTGTGTGTCTTTTTTCTTTTTTCTCTTTCCTCTTTCCAATTTTCCTCTCTTGCTTTTGGTCTGTCATGCTTCATAGGTGCCACAGGTTATGTCAGGACTGCCATAAAAGAAAACTTTGGCTACTGATACGAGTTTTCTGTGAACCTCCTGTGTTCTGCTCTGCAGTATCTGCTCCAGGAAAAAAAATAGCCCCCGAGGTCCTGTTGTTTAACTCGTGATGCTGTACAGGTCTTGATGCTGTTGCCTCACTCCACATGTTGTACGTGACCGTGTTGTTCATGTACATGTTGTACGTGAAGTTTCTGTAGTTGTTTTTACAAGATTATGTCTGTTTGTCCTCATGAAAGGGTGCTCCAAAAGCAAAAATAACATGCAAAGTGGAAGCCAATTGCTGTGTTGAAGGGGAAAAAAAAACAAAAGGAAAAGTACAGTCGCACAAACCTGAACTTGGAAATACAGACAGGCCTCTTCTTCCTCCAGCCATAYGAAAGGACTCGTGATACCTCACGAATCAGCCTTTAATTCGGTAACCAGTGAATAAGACCTATACCTCGTTAACCTGCTACACTGGATTAATGTAGGAGCATCAGCATCACTGTGTCCTGAATGCTGCTTCAGATTTGATTTTTGCCATTCCATCCAGCGCTATACATCCTCCTTTTTCATTTTGTTTCCTTTAAGGGCTTTAGCAGTAGTGGTTGAGTGGTTCTTTTAAATCAAATGCTTTAAATCCATCACCAAATTACCTTGCACCTCGCTGAAGGGGGTTGGAAACACAGTGCTGTGGAAATTCACAGCAACAGATGATTAAGTGCAAAACTGGCCGCTCGAAGCTCAGAAAAGTTGGGCAGTCAGGACCATAAAATACCTTTTTCTTTTTTTTTTTTTTTCTCCTGTTAATGAGCTCTTTTTGTGGCTCAGAAGAAAAGGTGTTTTTAACCAGAAAAAAAAAAAAA